TATATAAATAAATAAAACTAGAAATATTCACAGATGTGACAAAAAGCCCTAGTCATGTGCATAGTCTAAAAGAATACAATGCATATTGATACAGATAAATCGTCTCTGCAACACGTGAAAACAGGATATTTAAAAAACAACAAGAAAAACAGTCAGACAGTAAGAGATACAGAGATCATATATACCTGTCCTGTTGTCTGTGTCCCTCAGAATGGTTGGAGGACTCTGGCAGTTTGCTCACAGGTAAGGCCTTATCATTCAATGTTATAAAATCTCCTCTAATCAATAACCAAACAGTCATGTCCATCTGCTGATCATGTCAATAGATCACTTCTCTGCAGCGAGGGGGGCTGGGGTTTCCCAGAGGTACAGAGGGCAGAACAGACCAATGTTGCCTCATATATGCTTTGGACAAACAGAGATGGGACGCTGCAGTGAAAGCTGAGTGCCAAGGCAGGACTTAGGGGGCCAGGGGCCCCTGGGCTTGAGGTTATGTTTGGGGCCCTATACCTATAACGCTACAAATGCCCTCAACTAGAACATCATTATGCAGTAACACAAAATATACAAAAATGTAAAAATGCTTCGAGGCTTATATATAGTACAATTAATGTGCAGCATGTCTAGCCTAGTAAAAGTTTAGATGTAATATTAAATTATTATAATACAATAAATAGGATGTGCTCTCTCAGTTGAGAGACCAAAACCCTGAAATAGAACTGAGCAACAACAACAAAAAAGCCAGCGATGTATTAGTATTATACAAATTTATTTTCATATCTGTCCACTTATGTCAGGGCCCATATTCACAAAACATCTTGAAGCTAAAAGTAGCTCATAACTTGCCGATTTAGGAGAAAATCGTATATCTTAAATCTCCTACATTTTTGTTCTAGGAGTATTTCACAAAACGTTTTAGCGCTAAAACTAGCTCCTAAATCTGTGAAACGTTAGGAGTAGTGAAGAGGACTCCTAAGTCACTAAGACAAAATCTGAACTATCCTAAAATGGCTGTTGCCAGCAATCTGCCTCGGAATATAAACATTTAAGAAACATTTGATGACAATGAGCTTTTAAAAATGTATCGGCTTTGGTTTGAAAGTTACCCCAACTCCAAATGTTTGATTATATCCTTAATATATAGCTGTTCTCGCGTCCAGTTTGGTTTTCTTTTATGTTTGCATGTCTTACTATCAGCTATGATTATTCTACTCAATTAAAAGGCTGTTTATATGCATATTGACTAATTATTTGCGAGAAGCATACATAGAGAGAGGTTGACAATTAGCTGAATATATACTTGTTTATTAGTGACACTTAGCCTTCATTTTAAAATCTTTATTTGAATGTGGCAATTAACCTTTTTTATTTAAAAACCTTTATTTGAATATGAAACTCTTAGTAGTAAGATAAAATGTTTTGTGAATACGGGCCCAGATTCTTAAATTGAATCAATAAATGCAATCTGAATAAAAATACATGTTTGCTATTAACAATCAAATTAAATCACTATCAACAAAATCCATAGATAGATTCTGCATAAATTATGTAAAGTTTAAATATAACATTTGAATGTAGAAATATTAAATGATTGCAAAAATGAAATAAGCTACTTTTTTAAATATGAAACTACAACCACCAGTAGCTGGCAGCAAGTGACTGTCTTAATGAGTGAGTTGAACACTTAAATCAACCGATTCGTTTAAAATGTGAATTCATTTAACTTAGCAAACGACTGTACTTATAGCCTGATTGAAACATTTACTGGTCCTTGTAAGGCGGAGGAACAGAACACCGTGTTGCTCAGAGACGCAGCAGTTCTGCTGTTAGTTCTATTTTCTTTTTGATGGAGTAAAAAGGAATTTTGTGTCTGAAAGTTACTCAGTAACTTGTTGTTTATTTTACATTTGCGATTGTGCAGATGTTTGGAAAAACAGGACTCTTGTTTGTGTGATAGGCTAACTCCTATATGACCAGAAACTGATTAAAGGGGTCATATGATGCGATTTCTATTTTTCCTTTTCTTTAGTGTGTTATGTAGCTATTTGTGCATGTATAAGATCTGCAGAGTTACAAAGCTCAAAGTCTCCCACAAAAGGATTTATTCTATCTAAAAGAGAAGGCTGATCCAGACCGGGCTAAAACGCCTCATTCAAACACGCCCCCACATGTCTACGTCACGATGTGGAAATATTTGCGTAATGCCGCCCAAATGTGCATGCAAAGAAAGAAGGCGTGGTTTCAGGAACCGCAGTAGTGTTGATGCAGAAATGTCAGGGAGACGCTGTGTGTTTCTGTGCGAAAGCAAAAGCACTTTGGCTTTGTAGAAAACGACGCGTTTGAGAGAGGCGGGGCATAGAGGAACTACAATAATGTACAGTATTTGAAAAATAATGTGTTTTTTGAACATTAAAGCATGTCAACATATTCTGTTACACCAAATACACAAAATAATGATCTTTAAAATAGCATCATATGACCCCTTTAAATGGTTAATTATATATATTTTTTTTAGCATTTTGATGACATTTCTGCCCCACTATGTGTGATGGCAGTGAGACGGAAGAGAGTGCTCAAAACTCTTCAGATCACATAATTTAGTGGAACATTAATATAATATAGAATCAATCATCCTCTGTAAAGAAATGATGTGTGAACATATGATAATTTATCATTATCTTTCTAAATATGTGCTCTTTTGGGCTAAAGGATTAATGGAGCTGTGTAAAGTAGCTATGTGATCACAAATTAATCGCCGCAGACGTGATTCAGTTTGTGTGTACTTCTTCTATGTGAAATAATCATAAATACCAGTTTATGCTGTTTGATTATGGAAGCTGTTAGCCCTTGCGTGCACAGTGGAAATGCATCTAATAATTTCTGACTGGTATATAACTGAACAAATCAAACAAACGTAAACTGGTAAAGGTGGGGACCCATGGGCTGCAGTCCAGTCAAGCCCAATGTAAGTCCGGCCAGGGTGAGTGCAGTCACTGGAAACAGTCTGTGTAGTTTATTGAACAGTGAAAACTTTCACTCTAGTTCCTGTGCCTGAGAAATGATCCTTCACTTTGAGGCCTTGACACCTGATATCAGGTTACAATCACAAGTTTGATTTGGTCATTAAATCACATTCAGAGTACAGATATGGCATTATTCAAATCTGTCATGGTCAAAAACTATAAAACAGTTCAAATTAAAGTAATAATTGAAATATATTGCACATACTTGCGGTAGGTTTATGGCAAAACAAAATAAAATAGTGATTATTATATAACAAGAAAAAGCATTGATTTTGGCACAGACAGATGACCGAAAATCAATAAAGCTGATTCACTTGAAATATACTGAAAAGTACAAATGGCAGAAATGTGTTCGTTTGGCTTGAAACTAAATCATCCCACACATCAGCAGCTAATTATTAACTGTGCATATTCAACACCCCCACACACACACACACACTGAAGTTAATCACATGTAACATGAAGCAGATTTTCATGCATGTATGTCAGGCAATCTTAACCTTCAACCTTGCATTCGCAGCATGTGACATGCCTGTATGTGAAGTGGGTTGGGGAGTTTTTACTGCAAGTCAGGGTGATTTCTCTCATCTCATAACCTCTCTCCTTACAGCACTGGTGACTCTGTTCAAGCTGCAGTGTCAAACCCAACTGCAAGACAACACAACAAATAAAGTATTGAGCACAGGGGCCACATATGCAAATGTAACATTGGCTTTGTCCACTAAGACTAAAAGCATGATTTAGTAACAAGCACTAAACTTTTGTCACCAAATTTAGTAAAAAAAATGTTGTCACATTTCCAAGACACCTGTTTGAAATTATTCAAATCTGATTTCAGATGACTAATATCATAAAATTAGGCTGAGGTTGTTATTTTGAATAAATATGTATTTTAAATATTTTGAAAAATATTTTGCACTATTATTATGGCACCAAAAAGTACACTTTTACACATTTGGGGCTTTTACCTCAAATGTGACTTAAAAGTCTCCACCTTCTTCTCCACATTTATACCTTCATATTTAAATTATTTCTGGTCAAAACAAACTTTTTATAATTTCTTTTTGCACAAAAAGTGTGGTAGGGGAGCGCGGGGCACAAAGTAACGCGGGGTAAGTTGTAACATGTAGTTTAAATATTTCCACACATGCTAGCATAACCAAATTTTCAGCATTTACTAGTTACCATATCAACATTATATACCCCACCTACGGGGCATGTTGTCACATTTCACTTCCAATTTTTGAGGGTAAATAAAGAAAATTATGAAACAAAGCGACATATTTGTACTAGACAAGTGTGAAATTACTGTGGATAAAAAATTATACTCTGAACCCCATGTGGATTTACTCAAACTGAGAAAGTCAAAAAGTGTTACTTTGTGCACCGCTCTCCCCTACTTTATAATTATCTTTTGCACAAACTGTGTGGTCCATTAATATTAAATAAAAGTATAATAAAAATATTTTTTTCTGATGTAGGGTTAGTCACTTTGTTTTGCACTATAGTTTTGTGCATACAGTTATCTAAGCTGCAAATAATTTGCCATCTCATGCATTAATAGCTATTTGCATGAGACTCAATATTCATATTAAATTAATATGAATATAATATAATTAAAAAATCCTCTGTGTTGAAAAATGACTAATGTTCTGACAATACCCTCTAGTGGCCAAAAGGCTATTTCTCAAGGAAGGAATTTTTGAACGATGTGTGCTATTTGCTTTTGATTGCATATCTGTGCCTTTGATACAACAACATCCAGCTAACAAACTGTCTGTTTAACAAAGTGACTAAAATAATGATGACTAAAATATTATAGCTTAGTTGAGAATAAACAGGCTGTAAAATCTGATTTTAGGCTTGCCTTTTGTGTGTCTCACACTGGCCCTCAGCTCAACTTCCTGTGTGCAGTCAGCAATTGTGAGATTTCATCCTCGTCAATCTGGCAGTGCATGTAACATTACCTGTGATACACAGAACGAAATGGCAGTCAGCATCATACTCAAATCATGACTCAACAAGTAAAAAAATTAAATATATTTGTATAACCTTAAAATTTCTAATAAAAATGACTAATTAACAAAATAATAATTGTTAAAAGCACAGAAAAGTAATAAAAAATGCCAAACACTACAAATCCTATTCACTTTTTCCCCATAAAGAAGCAGATTTTTAATGATAAGGTATAAACCTTCCCTGGCTGGTCTTAATACAATAATTATATAATTATAATATTTTATGTACAGTATATG